GGCATGAGTTCTAACGAGGAATTGGTCATAAAAACTATGAAACCTCAGAATTCGAAGGCTCAACGAAGGACGAATTCCAGCACGAAAGGTAAAACCGAGTTGAGGTCACCATAGCCAATTGGAAGGATAATCTTGTAACTTCTTAGAGCTGCTGAGCCAATTAGGGGTGACCAGTAATGTAATTCCCATGATTTGACAATTTTTTATAGTTGTTCAACACAAGTCATTTAAGATATATCTAGGAATTAAGATTTGAAATTAATTGCCTTGAGGAAGTACTAGGATATTTTAGGATTGGGAAATTTTTGCCTTAAAGTTTATCAGGATTTTCTTGTTAAGATTCCATCTCATTAAGATTTTTCAATTTAGAATTTTTGCCTTAAGATTTGCTAACATTTTCTTTAGAGTTAGAACTTGTAGATATTTTGTAAAAAATAAAGATTTAATATTGTTTCTGTAAGATTTCCCAGGATTATTTTTAATTTCTTATAGTTTATTCAAAATTTTAATTTACTTAGAATAATGATTCAAAGTTTTTATTTAAAAAAAAATAGGATTTTGCTTTCAGCATTTAGCAATCACTCATAACATTAAGCATAAAATCAGCTCATAATTAGATGAGGATTCCTAGAAAATATCATTAAGGATTATGAGCTAATAATAAGTAATTTAATTCTTCAAAATAATTAAATTTTTAGGATAGTAAAATAAGATGAATATGTTTTTATTTATTTTGTATAATTGTTTCTAAGAATCTTGACTAATTTAAAAGCAACACAACTTTGCCTTGCCTTCACCAAATCTATTTCTTTGAAAGATACTATCTTGTATTACTCAAGTGGTATGCTTAGAGGATCTGTCACATATTCCTTAACTAGTATACTTGTAATTACTTCTAAATTTTTATTTCACTTCAATTTAGATTTTATAATATTTTATGTCATTTGATTAATTATTATTAATCATATAAATATAATATATTTTATTTTTTATTACCTAATTATTTTATTAATTTCTGAATGTTTTTATTATTTTATTATTATTGTATTTTTAGTTATCCACAATAAGCTAAACCAAAGTCACAAAAAATAAAAATCCAAATTTGTTTTAATAAAACAAGGTAAGTAAAAACAATTGCTTGAATTGAGTTTAAGTAAGAATACTTGATGATAATTAAAATAAATTTGATTACAATGTAAACGAGCTTCTTATTAAATTTGTCCTATAACTGAATTACGTAATGTAAATGTAACAGCTAAAAAAAGTAACATAACAAAGAGAAGTAGAGCAATCTTGATTTTGACCATGCTACCAACTCAAGGATATTTTTGTTCACAAAAAATTTCAATTTTCTCTTTTCTAATTTTAATTTATTGACTAGTTACTTATTAAAAATTTAACTCAAAAAAATTATCATCAACAATAAATAAATAAATAAATAAACTATAACAATTGTCTTATAGGAATTTGAAAATCGCTCTTTTTGAAAGTTAGATGATTCAAATTGCAAGGACAATACAATACTCTTCACTTGAGTTTTGTACAACATTTAACTAAACTTTAAGAAGATGATTATTACCTCCTTAAAATTATATTATAAAATACTTTAAGAACAATTAATTTTGTAGTAGTCTAATTTTTGAGCAATGAAAACTTCTCTTTTAAATATAGACTATTCTGTACTTGAGTTATTATAAGAGATTTATTTTATTTTATTTTATTTTTACTGTAAATGAAATGATTCTTAGCGTGTCAAAATCTTAACTTAGATAAGCTTGTATTTATAAAGTTTACTTCAAAAAAAAACATATATATGTATAGACATAATTTTCATGCCATATATTAACAAATTTGCTAATTAATAAGAAGGCCAAACTACAAAAAAATGTTTTTGTATATATATATATATAGATATGTCTGGAAAAGAAGAAATCCAAGGAAATAAAACAAATAAATGTATATGCTAGGAATAGAGATCATTAAGCTAGCATAGAAAGTGAGTGGCTTCAAGCCCTCGATTGAAGATTTTGTTTCTTGTCCATCTAGATTTGACCTTATGATGTGTGGGTACCACCATATTCTTTAGCAATCCAAATGATGAGCATTGAATAGTACTCCTATAAAGCTGTGTAATTGACATCAATCTTATAAACATCAAGGCATTTTCAGTTTTATTAATCTTGCTAATTGTTAAAAAAGATTATATACACACACACACATGTATATATATATATATATATATATATATGGATAGAGAGAGAGCTTATGTTACTTTTCTATGTAAGAAACACTCTTAGTAGATCAACACCAAAGACAGTTGAAATCAAAATTGAGTTTTAAAAACTGAAAACATTATTTTCTTTTCTTTTTCGTATTTATTGGTTGTTCTTCTTCCATTTCTGTTTGGTACTCAATATGTATAGTAATGTCAGCAATGAACTAGTGTGTTTTTTTTTTTTTTTTTTTTTTTTTTTTAAAACAAAGTACGATTTTACAAAAGATATGATATGTAAGTTTGGAACTCAGGCTACAAAAATGGCCCTTGGCCTGTATTACACCAGCCTAGACAAGTTGTTGTGGCAGGGCATGGAATTAGGCATCAGATCTCAAATCCTGGGATCATTCCCATTGCTGCATTTGGGAACATTGATGCCCCACTGCAAAAGTTTTAAGGCACCCCACTTCCCCAAAACATGCTCAGTTTCCAGACAGCTTCTCCCACAATTAAATGTTGCTTATATATATGTTATTCTCCTTCTTTTTATCTTTTTTAAAGCTACAGCAAGGTGCCATGACTCCAATTACCACTCTCTGTTTTTACCTGTGGTTCCCAACACATAGGACAGAAAAGTTCACACCCATTCCCAGCTATGAGTACATCAAAAATCCTGGCATCTAGCTTGCATTTCTACATGCCCCATGCAATTTGGATCTTTGAATGTTGATGGTTCTCAGCATGATGAACTAAAGTGGGGCCCTGTGTTGATTAGGGTTTCACTGTTTCCCTTATTTTGTTCTTGTATGGAGGGAGGGATGGGCAATTCTTGATTGCCCTCTTTCTGCCCATTGTTAATTTAGTGACTATTCTCATCTTGCCAATTTACATTCTGTTGTCATCTGTTCAAGACTTTCCTAATCTCATTGTAAACCCAATTCTAGCATGATTTGTTTAAACCATATGGAGACAGGTTTTATTTATAGTTCCTCAGGGAAAAAAATCAAACAATTGTAATGATATGGGTAATAAAAAGTCAAGAATCAACTTCTTTAAGATGAGTCAAAAATTTTGTTTTGAGTTTTGTGGCATCATGGATCATGCCACAAAATCCCTTATCAAGTAGACACACAGACACTCACAACTTGTTGGTTTGGTCTCTGATTCCACAAGCTCATAACCATAGGCTTTCTGCCATCACACAGAGCAAAGTTATTAATATATTGTTTTTTCAGCCCTGCAAATCATATAGTTCTGGTTCACTTTTTTTCACTCTCCATGTCTGCATTATTTCACATGCTCTGTCAGAAAAAATTCCAACACATGCTTCTAGATTAAAAAAAAAAAAAAAAAAAAAAGGCATCATGGTGGACTATCCATGTGATCCAATTTCTTCCGCAACATTATTATTATTATTATTATTATTTATCTTTTGTCAACATGGATACATTCCTCTTTTTTGTCTCATGCATGTAGCTTCAGATTCATATATAGGGGAATGTTAAATAGACTGTAATGAAAAATATGATAAACGTGATGAATGTGGTTGGCTTTTATTGGTTTTGGACCCAGCAGTGGAAAAATGAATCTAGAAGTCATTATTTATTTAAACATTTATTTATTTATTCTCTCTTTCATTTTTTCAGGATGGTTAGAATGGATGGGTAAATTTTGTAAAAAAGAGAGTCTATTTAACATTCCCGTCTATATATATATATATATATATATGTATATTTACACACATACATGTTCAAATGAGTCAAGAGTACGTTGGCCCGCTCGGTTTCATGTAGAAGAAAAGAAGAGTGCGTTTTAATCTGTATCTGTCTAATCGCACTAATACAACCAGAAATTCCAATGCATTGTCATGTTGGCCCACAAGTTAGTAAAGATAGAAGTCCTCCAAAGATGGAATCGAAGTCCACCGAAGATTTGCCTCCAACGTCACTAGCAGGGCTACACTGAATCCAAGCCCTAGAGGACGGTGGCCGTCGCTACAAATAGAGCAAGAGACCGTAGCTCAGGAGACCATACTGTGCCACGTCCCCCCCTCCATCCCTACAAGTCATCCACACATCCATCCATCAATCCGTCAATCCACACATCCATCCATCAATCCCTACAAGTCATCCACACATCCATCCATCAATCCCTACAAGTCATCCACACATCCATCCACACATCCATCCATCCGTCAATCTATCCATACGATCATCAATAATCATTCATCCATCCATCCGTCAATCTATCCATACGATCATCAATAATCATTCATCCATCCATCCGTCAATCTATCCATACGATCATCAATAATCATTCATCCATCCATCCGTCAATCTATCCATACGATCATCAATAATCATTCATCCATCCATCCGTCAATCTATCCATACGATCATCAATAATCATTCATCCATCCATCCGTCAATCTATCCATACGATCATCAATAATCATTCATCCATCCATCCGTCAATCTATCCATACGATCATCAATAATCATTCATCCATCAATCCACTATTTGGCCCGGTCACACAGCGTGTTCCAACCCACGCCCACCTCAGCAACACAGCAATCCCAATGGGGAAGCAGAAACGCCTTAAATGAAGGAGAAATGAATGAGGTCGAGGGAGGTGGGGCTTCATCAGATAAGGAGGATGAGATAACTCAGTGTCACACGACGACGACGCCACGGTGATGCCACGTTGGCCTATATGCCACGTGGACTGGATCTAATGAGTGAAAGTAGGGGTGGTTGGCGATGGATTGAAAAGGGGATGAAAGACCTAATGCATTCCAACAACACGGCACGACACAGTACGAATGCTTTTATTAGGGAGGGAAAGGCGATCGTTGTGTGGTGGCCTGTTTGCTTCCCCGCCCACCGATTGCCAAGGACACTGACTCTCAAGCACAAGCAGAAGAAGAAGAAGCTCCAAGCCCTCTTCTCCTCTGTCTCTCTCTGTCTCTCTCTGCATCCCTCCTTCCTCCTTCCCTCTCCGGTCACTCTGCCTTTGCCAAGAAAATAAGCTTCTCTCGGCCAAGCTCCTTGTGCTGGATCTTAACCGAGCTGTCAAGAGCGTGCTGGTTGGCGGTAATTGTCCATGTTTATTTTCTTGCGGAGTTTCATTTTTTTCGCTGGTTTTGCTTGTCTGATGTTGATATTGTTCTTTGTTTGCTAGGCGCACCGCCTGCATTTCTATTGTAGTTGTTTCTGTAGACGATTGGCTTTTTTTTTTTATACTTTCGTAGTGCTGGTTTAGTTGATGACGGGCGGTTTAGTTTGGCTGGAGATTGTCAATTGTGTAAATGATATGTGTCTGGTCGAGTTTCGTTGTTGCAAGGCTTTCAGAGAAGGATAATTTGGTAATTCTTGACGATTTCATGTTATTCTTGTTTTTTTTGGTTGTTTATATTTTATTTTATTTATTACGATATTGATTCGTAACCCGCTGTGTTTCTGCAGTCGGTTTAGTGAATTCAGTTGCATTAGTATTTTTTTTATTGTTTATTTTGTAGTATTTTTAAAGTTTTCCCTCTTTAGCAGTGAAACATTCTCTTCCCGCTCCGTGAAGTTGGATATATTCGGCTCCTTTTTGGTCGGTATCGTGAATATTTTAAAGTTTATGTATACTTAGATGCTGTGTAATCATATTATCCGATCGTGGTTTTCTACTTGCTACAATACAATTTTACTACGAAAATATCGTAATCTTCCAACTTTCTATTTCAAAACATATATGTTTATAACTACTTTATTTAGTAAATATCAGTGTAAATGTGATTGTTGGCTATGTTTCCTCGCCTCCATTAGTGCTGTAGTGTTCAACACATTTAGTATCGGACTTGAATACTTTAAAAGTAGGCCTGTTAGAGACCTTTGTTTTATTTCTTAAATTTATTATGATTAATATTATGATTATTATTATTATTCCCTCACCTCTAATGGTGAATAACGACTTTTTCGTTTTCCATAATATGTTTCTTTCTTAGGAATGTAAATTATAGAGATTATATTTTTTGATGACTTTTTAAATTCTTTAAATTATGCATTGTTTCTAAGAGATCTTTTTTATTTTATTTTTTATTTTTTTGTACTGAGACAAGCTGTTGCATATTGTATTGTTTACGTTGATACAATTGTTTATCGCAAATTATGGAGTTTAGTGGCTCATGCTGCGTTATATTCTATGCTTTTGCAATGTCTGTATTTTCATGTTGATGGAACACAGATGCCTTCTGATACTCATTAAGTTTTTGCTCGATGCAGTAGGATCTTGTAACATTCTGTCCGTATCGATTCGAGAATATGACGATCGCTACAGCCGTTTTGACTGGGAAAATGCCCATTGAGGCTACTCCGGTTGGAATTGTCTCTCATCAGCGTGGTTTAAGCATACGAAGACCTGGAATTCCTACTGCAATTTCGTAAGTCTACATGGTTTCGGCGTAGATTTTAAGTGTCTTGTTGTTTGCAAAATGGATACGAAAAGCTGATTCATGTCGTTCGAGAATGACTTCAGTTGTTTGAAATGGCCCTGCATTTCTTGCAGTAAAGGCCTGACGATTACCTGTTTCTTTACCAGAACTGTCCAAGGAAGGCATTTCGAAACACCTGGAAAGAGTGCTCTTCACAAGAAGTTTGTGTGCTGTTCGGAGAATTCATGCCTCGGCGACAAGACGCGCTCTGCTTCTGCTAAGGATCGTAACGAGAATGAGGTAGTGTTACGCTGTTACTATTATAATCCATTCTTGAACAGAAGCTGTTGAGTGCACCTTGTTCAGTGCAATTGTACGTGTCCAGATCATGGGTTACTGAGACCAGCATAATCATATAATTGCATTTGATTTAGATCTGAAGGACTTAATGAGAATTATATTCACTAGAGTGGTATATTAACAGCGGGGTCGTTACATTGAATTTGTCAGGTGACGATGTTCGCTAGACAGGCCTTCTACAAGGAAGTAAGCGCGCACAAGTGTGATGACGCCGTCTCTCTCGTCAAGGTGCTCTTCTAACTTATTTAGAATTTACCGGACGTGTTCTACGATTGATAGGAGGTTGAGTCGACGACCTTTTATCGAAGAGATATAACAGACAAACCTGTGGTGCCAGGCTTCAGTGGAGAAGAGATGAATGAGTCGTTAGTGACATACCAACCTTCAAACGTGAATACCTTCACAGCAAAGCAGATATTATGACTAAATTTACACGACTACAGTGGATCTTCTTTTTCTTTTTCTTTTTCCTCCTATATTTTCGGGACAACAAGGTCCATTCTAATCTGTATGACATATAATTTCACACACATACTGTACGCATGTACATATGTGTGTGAATAGTAGTGCTATCTGTAGCCAGTATTATAGGTGTTTTCCACTCTACAAACTAAGAGATTCCGAGTTACTGAAAACGAACCAAAATAGTTATTATTCCATCTAAACATAGGTCTTCCATACTCAATCTAACATCATTAGCCTTTGCCTCACAGGAAAGGATTCATATCAAGAACTCTTGGCAAAGAGGTCAATGACGGCTCTAAACGATGGTGTTTCTGGCCACATATGGAAGATTTTTACGATGAGAGGACTTACATATTTGTTTTGACTGCCACAATTGACCATGTCGTGCTAGAATCTAATTTTTTTCTACCTTCTGCAGGGTGCTCTGCTGATTTCAGCCGAGGACCAGGCCTTCATATCTTTGAATAGAGAGAAGGACAATCTTGCTGTTCAAAACGAGATTTCCCACCCTCTTGTCTCCTCGTCGTCATCAAGGGCAAGAGGGAACGTCGATCCCAAAGATATCATGGTAGGAGATTTGAGTATTGGTGGATGGATGGAGAAAATCGATGCACTTGTAGCTGAAGTAGAAAATCATCTAGATGGTGACAGACATAGATGGCGGCCGCTGCAAATTTTGAAGGCAGTCAACGGCGTGCTGTACAAGGTGTTGGATTTCAGTCGGGCATCTTCATCCAATGATCCCTTTCAATCATACATGGATCATGCGTTGGCTTTTGGATCGGGCACAGGTGCGTTTGTCTTCTATGAGAGTTCAGCAGGTTTTACGATTGCTCAACCTCGTCTTATGAGTTGATAAATTTTTCGAAAACAAACTCAGTTTGTCTACATTTCAATTCTGCTGCAGGGGTGCTTTTGGGCATAATCTACATGGAGGTCTGCAGGAGATTAGGTGTGAAGATGGAAGGAGCGGCCGTGGACGAGTCCTTTCTTGTCTGGCCTCTTCTCGATGATTCTGCACAGGTCTAAACCCTTTGAATGAGGAATTTATCGTGATCCTCATTTACTATGCATTTCCTCCTGGATGCAAGGGTATAGCCTGTCGTCATGTGACTGACTGACAGCTGCACGGATAAGTGCAGTATGTAGATGTGCTCATTTCTGTACTTGTTCTGTTATCATGAGCAGATGGTATTTGAGCCTTGCAAAGGCGGGAAAAGTTGGATGATTGAAGATTTTTCACAGTGGCGATCATCAACCTCGTCACAACAAAATTCTATCTCCTCCACCGTTGGACGTGTGTTGGACATTTCGGTTGTTCGAACTTTGGAATCTAAATCCAACAGGGACATCCTCGGCTTGATTCTAAAGAGCTTGAAAGTAAGTAGAAAAATATCAATTACTGCCGGTTGTGTCGAGTTATTTAGTTCAATATCTCAAAACAATGGCTTCATCCGCAAACTTTTTTGATGTGTCTCAGTTGGTTTGTACAGCAGTTTCTGGATTCGGCATTCTCTCAAATGCTCTGGTGAATGCTGGTCAAGTACTCCGTTTGTGGATTTTCTCTTGACCAATTCTATTTATTGCAGAATGTGTACTGGAGGAGGGCAGTCAAGTCGAGACCAGGTCTGACTCCTGATTTGGCACTGCAGCCATACATGTCTAGGTCGAGCTGGGCAATTAACAACGCAGGGCTTCCAGTTGGAGCTATGCTTCGACCTGAGGATCTTAGGTAATGGACTCTTCAAATTTTGATTAAAGTCTGGTTAAGTGTGGCACCGTAAAATTGCATTTTTAGCTTATTATGTAAGGTTATCGAAGAATTGCAGTAACTGCAGATTATTCTTCATACTGATTCTTACACTCTGTGCAGATTGACTGTGATGGCATTAGAGCGATTGGTTCATTTGGAGCCTAGAAACTGGGCTTTACGGAAAGAATATGGCATGGTTTTATATCACAGCCGGTACTAACATTCAACACATTTTATGAAATTGTTTGTTCCTAATGCAATGATTATCAAGTTTGAAATATTAAAATAAGTAAACTGAGTGTTCTAATGAATTGCGTCCCATGTCTCTATTTTAAGATCAAGCAATTGATCTGCTGTTCTCATTCCTGAATGGCTATTTGGACATACTCATTCGTTCATATAAGTATTGATGTTTATTCTTTATTTCAGACGATATGATGAGGCCGTACTGGAATTGAGTATATGCATGGCACTAGCTCCGCTGCCTGAGGAAGAGCTTTTGCAGCCATTTGTGGAGCGTCTACATTTGATGCGGATGGAGTCTACTTGGAATATTTTCAGTTCCTCAAGTTCTCCTTCAGCATTCGTATAGATGGGTATAATTTTGCAGCATTCTGACCATTTCTAGCCTTCGTGGCCCGAACAATTATGCAGGCCGCATAACAATCTTATGACTCACTTTTAAGTTATAAGAGAGCGAATACGATTAATTTTGTAGATTTTGCGATAACGTTTGAACCTAGACAAGATTAAGGAGGATGTTTGTGCAATGGTTACTTTCCAGCATACTGCAGCAATGCTGGTGTACAGATTCTTTTATATGGCATATATGTACATACACTCTGAAAGTGGCAGATCTAAAAAGCTGCTCAAATCATGCATTCGTTATTATTGCAATACGATTAGATTTTCAAAGTGGATGTGAAATTATTTCTTGATACTAAATTTTATTTTGTTCAACTGGCTTGGTTACCATTAAGTGTTCGTTTTCTGATTAGTTGATGCTTTTATGTACGGAACTCAGAATAGGTTTGGTCAAATACTACAGTATTGGAAGTGTAGTTTTGAAATTTTGTAATGGAATTGGAATGGCACCGGAAGACTGCTTCACGCAAGCTTAATTAGACATTTTAATATGGTCTAAACTGCTAAGTTTAAAAAGTAATTCGACACACTTAAAAATTTCAATGCCCAAGTCAAGATTCGATTCAAGTAATTCATGCTCTGTGGTCATGCAGTAAATGTAAATGAGTAAACAAGGATTAATTACACTAAAAAGAATGTAAATTAATCTAAAATTTTAATACTTCTTGTAGAAGTATTCTAGATTAGACCCAAGAAAGAAGAGGAGAAAGGAGAGATTGAAGAGTGATCATTGGTTGTTTCTGCCTAAGCTGATTTTTGTTAAGTAAAAAATTGTATAATCGTGTAATAAATTGTTGTCCAAATTTTTCCAATGAGAACTTTGCATAAGGACTTTGCATGAAGACTTATCATCTAAGTTAATAAAAACAACTTTCTATGAAAGTTTTTTTTTTTTTTTTTTTTTATCAAAATTTAATTTATGTTTTACAAGTATAATACAAATTTATATTGTCTAAAATAAGAATTAGAATACCACTTATGCATTTTATTTCCATCAATGCAAATCACAAAATTTAATTCTTCCATCTAAAAATTGTCACAAACATGCAACAATCTACAATCTTGAGTACCATTTAGGACTTTTTGAATTCCAATTTTTTAAAAAATCTCTAAAACTTCTTTAAAAATTTAAAATAAATACCTAAGGATTTTTATGTGATTAGGAAGTTGTAAGACAAGCATGATTGAAGATCTCAATAAATATGATTTAAAAAAAACACAATTTAAAATTAAAATAATTAGATATGTATTTAAATAAGATTATATATATATATATATATATATATATATATATATATAATGATTGTGTTTCAAAACTTCAAATAATTGTTTGAAGATTAGAATATATTATTTTATAATACTTGTGTTATTATTTTTAATCATTTGTACTCCAATTAATATAACAATAAATTTGATTTAATATTCCAGAGCTTAAATGTTAATTAAGTTTTATTTACTAACTGTTTGTGAATTTTTTATTATTTCATAACCATGTACAAATTTATTAAGATAATTATATATATATTATTGTAGATGGAGAAATTAGTAGATGAATATGTATAAATTATTTTTGTACCAAAATATAGATATTTAAGCAAAAATCATTATTATAATTCAAAGAGCCGAAGTGAAAGAATTTACTTAGACTAAAAGATGTCTTAAAAAAGCAATTTAAAAAGAGTTGGTTCTAATCATAACTGTGTTATAATAGAACATATGTGTATTAATAGAACGGTTTTGTATAAAAAAATTTTAAAAAAAATTGATTACAAAAATCTTTAGTTTGCCCAAGACTTATCGATAAAGCAAGCTATTGTGTTTGTAAGATGATATTTTAATACATTATCTTTTATGTTCTATCTGTTTTTCTCTTCTTTTATGAAAAATGGATTTTTCTGTTCAAATATTTTATATAAAAATTTATTTGCAATATATTCTACTCTTATATTGTAAATTTTATTAAAAAGTATGGTAATTATGCTTATTACTGGAGGTAATTTTTTTTATATAAACTCTTCCACCATTATTTTGAAAAAAAGGACCAAGAAAGAATTGAAGACTTAAATCATTAGTGATTTTGTTAGTTGTAAATACAATTCATAATTTTAATATAAATCTGAAATATTTAAATAATAAAAGTTGTGGTGATGGATCCTTTTAATTTGTCAACATGATTATCATGAATTTAAGATGACTATAGAATCAAATACATTTCTGTACATTTAACAACATAAAATATATGCAATATGAAATTCAAGAATTGCATGCTCTGTCTAAAATATCACAAGATTTTGGACCAGTTAATGTCTCTAATTCGAATTTTGAAGAAACAATCAGCAAACTTAATTAAAAGAACATGCAATTCTTTGAATTAATGTTACATATGTCTTATGTTGAATATTAAAGAAATATTTAGCGACAATAATAGATGTGGTGCATATATTTAAATTATTGGGAATTTTATAAATTGATTTATGTAAATAACTAAACAAACAATTGGCAACTAGAATTCTCTTAACAAATTTCACTTTCTATTATTGGAAATTGACAAAGAAAAACATTTATACATACATACATGCACACAATAACTCTGTTCGTGGGACCACATCTTGGAAAGAAGGCTCCAACAACTACAACAACATGCACTCACGCACGCACTCACGACTTTGAAAGAGCGGCATAGCAAAAACGACGACGACGTAGAAGTTTTTGGAGTAGCCCGACGACGGAGGAAAGCATGTGTCGTGATCCTCGCTTCGCGCGTCGCACGTTCTCCTTAAAATTTAAAGAGCTTTATGATTTCCTCTTAGTTTCTTAATTTGCGTTGTGGGATAAATTTTAGGAAGAAAATACAAACACAGTTTGTAACTAGGAACTGAGAGAGTCGGCGATTGCTCAGCCCCATCAGGGAGAGAGAGGTGTAGCTCCGTCGTTGTCGTCGTCGTCGTCGTGTTCAATCTGCCCTTTCTTTCTTTCTTTCTCTCTTTTCCTCTCTGTTTCACACATCTTTAGATCAATCTGTGTCCATCCCTCCTTCCTGCATCGTGATACTCAAGTATTATTCTTCGTCGTGTCGCTGAATTGGGTTGGGACTGACTCGGGCACTTTTGATGGATTTTGAACAATCGTCCCCTAGTTGCAGATCGTCGTCGTCGTCAGTGCCACCTGTTTGTTCACTCACTTTTTCAAAGAAATAGTTGTGTTGCGCATTGTGTACTTTTTTTTTTGGTTACTTTCTTATTGTGGTGTTTCGCTTTGTTTTGTTTTGCAGTGACGGAGGAGGTATAGGAGGAGGTATAGGAGGAGGTGGAGTGGGAGGAAGGGCTGGTTGTATGAGAGGGAGGAGGAATTGATCGTTTGGATTATTGAGGAGTTGATTGGAGCGGAGAAGGGCGGCAAGCATGAAGGTCGTCCTTTGGGGCCCGTTTGTATGGGCGCTGGTGGTGGCGTTGCTGATGCAAGTATTGGGGAGAGCCGTTGTGGCGAGTAACAGGCTCGGAGTTAATCCTTTCCCAGGTATGATAATGTGGCAGGTGGACTTGGGTGAGGTGGGTTGAACTTCAGAGTTTGTGGGTATTTCGTGGACAGAGAGACTCAGGCTAGAGAATTTAAATCAGTTTTGAGCGTTTTAAGTTTTAGGGTTTAGGAATGATGACTGGACGGACAAAAGTCTTAGTGTTTGGAGCGGTTTTCGTCAATTGCTGAGAATTTTGTTGCATTTTGGCATTGAGGGGGGTTTAGGTACGACTTATGATGAATGGAAAAAAAGAAGAAGAAAGAAGCTTAATTCACAACGATAATTCTGGTAAGGTTTCTTGCTGTTCTGCACCGTTACCAACAAGTGGTTTTATTCATGGCAGATGTCTCAGCAGGCCAATCCATCACGTTACACCCTTTGGCTGATGGCGTCTTTGTGGAAACTTCACCGGGAGTGAAACCGGGGAATCTTGTGGCGTGCATGCGAGTTCGAATTCATGGCATCCCTCGGTTTTCAAATATCGAAAAATTTGCAGTTATCACACGAGTCAAGGTGCAGTCTGAAGCTACTCCTGCGTACAGGCCAGCTCCTCCTAAAGTTGAGGTGTGCATGCATCGGTGAGTCCAAATACTTGCTATTCGGATGGTTCTGGAAAAAGATGATCCCTGCGAAAAGTGTTTGTCGCAGACCTGGACACTTCTGCATATTCTCATTTACTTTGTTGATGCCTTTAAAATTCTCTCAGACTCTTATTTACGGCACTATTACCTTCGTTGCGTTCTTTTGGAGAATACATGTGATTTTACATCATATATGTACTGTTCTTTTGTATGCTGTTGTCTATAATGTTTTTTCTTCCTTGCATGCGAAACGTTATTATTTTGCAGCTTTATGAAGTGATCACGATGATGTATCATCTGCAGGAATGGGTCGATGGAAGTGGCGCAGTGCTCAAGGGAGAGCTGGCGAGCTCTTGAGAAGGGTTCCTGGTCTGGAGCTGCGTCTCCTTTTGAGACCAAGTATGTCGATCTTCGATTGACCGATTCTCATACAGATGTTTCCCTGAGTATATCCGCCGAAGAAGGTACGCTTAGTTGACGGTTGTATATCCTTAGCAATGAAATTTTAGGCTTGATTTCAGTGCTGCGCTCTTTTTCTTATTAGTGTTAGATTTCTTCATGCAAGTTTAATCTTTAATCATATGGATATGCTTTCAGGATCAATCATCAATATCACCTTCATCTGAGTTTTAGCTCCTGTGAGGGTTTTGTGATGCCATGATGCGGTCTTGCCGATGGTGATGTTGTTTTTTAACTACGGAAGTCTAACTACTATGTCGTTTTTGCAGAGAGCCAGGGTTTTCGATTTGCTTTTTTGGTTTTGGGGATGATGTTGATGTTGTTGGCTCCTTTGGTGAGCGATTGGGTGCCATTTTACTACAGCAGTGCCATGACCTTGGGCGTCTTCTTGGTGATCATTGTACTACTGTATCAGGTACAATCTGAAAGGCCCTACCTTATGACGTAATAAGACCTTTCGTAACATTAGCTTTTTGAGAATCTTTTGTGGATTTGCATGCATGAGAAAATGTTGATAATAATGCCGGATTAAGTCATGAAATTCTTGGAATATTAAGCAGGTATTATTTCCTTTTGTTCATTTGGTACTCATTTGGTCCAGATCTTACTGTGTATTTATGTCTGCTTTCTTAGTGTGCTTTGTAACTCTTGACTCGCTGACACAAGGTATTGGTTGTGACGTTCTCAGGGCATGAAGCTGCTACCAACTGGGCGCAGGAGTTCACTCTGGCTTCTACTTTATGGTTCGCTGGTATGTCTTGGCATTTGTTCTCTGATGATCGGAGCTGTATTAACCTAGTCAAGTGTTCTTATTGTGTAAGGAACTTCCAGGATAATCAGTCTCGAAAATTACACTTAGATATTCGTCCAGAACTTTCTATTATTTGATTGTGAGAAATGTGTAAGCCGAGTTTTTCCACTGGTTTTGTGTTCTGCAGCTAGGGATGGGAACTGTAGTTATTCACTATTTCAGTGTACTCGTCAGCACCCTTCTCAAGGAGTTTGGACTTAGCGATGATATGTACAACCCTGTAAGGACTGCTCATTTCCATCTTTTAACAATATGAACCGCAATTCTACTATTTCGCTGTCTTGGAAGCCTTCAAATTACGGTGATTGATTTTGAAGGTTTTCTTACCCTCAGCTTGTCTCAGTTTATGAATGTTTGGCTCTATGTTGGTTCACAAGCCTTTCATTCGTTACGAAAATCTTCGATACAGTCACAATTAGGAGGTGACTTGTGAGAGTTCACAACCACGCTCCATGTTCTGTACAACGTCTTTGTTATGTTGGATGTTAACTTTTGATTGATTAATGTGAACAGATAGCGGTATTCCTTGCTCTTGGTGTTGTTCTCATCGGTGCTTGGGTTGGCTTCTGGGGAGTGCGGAAAGTGGTACTTGCTGAAGATGGAAGTGTTGATACTGGTGTTGCTAAATTTGTGAAGTGGGCAATTCGTTTCATTGGTGGTGTCATGCTTCTTCAGGTGCTAGTTTCACCTAATCATTGTTCAGGCTTAAGAATATCAGTACACCCAACAAGAGGTTTCTCTTCAACGATTCTTGTAAATCTTCATTGTAGATTTTGTGAGGATTTCAGAATTGCTCCCTCGGGTTGATTTATCTCTTTTATCATCGGAAATCAATTACGTTACGTAAAAATTATCAAAAAAGAAAAAAAATCTACGTCAATGAGTTATTGTCCCTGTTGCTTCTATGTTATGTAGTCACATCTATAGTTATCTTTTATTTTTTTCACTGTGCTGTTAGTTAGCTAATATAGGATATCAATATATTGTGTTTGTTGCAGTCCTCATACGACATCGTTTTTGCTATATTAGCACTTGCACTAGGATCAGCAGCGACATGGATTTTAGGGAACTTCTTCAACGTTCTAGAGAACCTCGAAGTTGCAGAAGGTCTTGAGCGTCTGTGGTCCCAGTAAGCATGCTACTCCTACACTCTCTGTTCATCATGGTGTATTCCGAAGGGAATCACTATTGACGATTCTGCTGTTGTGTAGCTATTGGAATTCAGAAGGAGTGCTTGCGTGGGCAGGAGAAAAGCTACAAGAATTCTGGTTCAAGTAAGTTTATTTTACCAAGCTTCACCAATATCGATTGGTATGCATATGCTGTCTGATTATTTTTCTGTAGTTGAGTCTTTCTATGTGCAGGAATGTTAGCCGAATATCGTCAATTTCTGCAGCAGGACACCTCTAAAATATGGTGATTTTCCTGCATTCTAGTAGATAGTTGTTTGTGAAACTAGAAACCTAAAAAGGTGAGGTAGTTTAGAAATGTCTATTTTGGAACTTTGGAGCCTTTTGGAAGGGAGGCATGTGCTAAGTATTTACCTGATGATGGAAGAGGTATCAGGCTCAATAGCCTATATTTATTGGAAGTTTTCTCACTGACCTCTTGTGTTTACGGAAGAACAGACGGCAAAGACTGCAAAGACACGATGTCTTTCGATCCCATTCGAAGCGAAGTGTCAACAAGATGCCAATGACTAAAACTCAGGCAAATTCTCTGCAGAAACTTCCCGGGAAGGAGGCCCTGACGAGGTGGGAGCAAGTCAGTGCTCTGTCAAAAAGACACTTTGCAGGTAAACACTGTCTTCTGAAGCATATATACTGTGTACGATGAGCAATTCAAAATTGCCATCCTCAAAACATTGCAAATAGGTACAACGGGATTGCAAGCTGGTTAGATTCTCTTGTATATGCTATTTGGTACCAAAGTGGGTGCTGAATATCAAAGAGGGTGGTGTTTTGATTCTTTTTAGACCTATTATTGGGACATTTGACCACTTGCCTGATTAGGAACTATCCTTGACCCAAAGATTTTCATGTGGTTTAAGTGATGGGGCGAGATTGCCCTTGAGAGGAAATTCTTAGTCATTGTATTAAAAGTCATAGTCATGTACATAGTCTCTGTAGTAACAGCCATGAGTTGCAAGCTAGAACCTTATCATAATATTGTAATAATAATAATAATCAACTTATTTAGAACAGAGTATGCGATGTTGTCATCCTCCGTAGCTTACGTTTTGTCATCGTCATTTGATGAACGCAGCGCCTGTAGCTGACCTGGCGTCTCCGTCTCCTCCCCGGCGGAAAGAAGTTTACTCGACCTTTCATAAGACTCCAGATCGCAAGCCGTTGAGTGGCAGTGATTACAAGGCCACTGATATGACTGGAGAGGCAGTTAGTGAATTAGTCAGATCCAAAGACTTTCAGCAATGGTGGGCTACAAACGTAGTTAGCAATAACCGTATTTCCATTGCTCCCATTGAACACAGGGAGGAGAGACCAGAGGAGGATATTGAAGCCACAGCTTCCTTGCCTGAGGATGATTTTTTCTTACAAAAGAATTCTGAGCATTTGAGAAATTATTCAAGAAAATTGTAGTCTAGACTTGTGTATATTACTATACGCGGGCATATCAAGTCCAAAGGAAGAGGGGGTAACAGCTTCCTGTCAATACTTTGTTATTTTGCAGAGAGTACACTGTTTCATTTTCAGCTTCCTTTTAGATAAGCTGAGAGTTTTGATATTTTCCTTAGATTCTGAAGTGTTTCCGAATGGAGGTTGTACGAAAGAGTGCAAAGCTGCACATCTGTAATTTGGTTTTATTTTAAAATCGATATCTTTTGTTCGAAGCTCTTTTGTTGATGATAAGACCTGTGGTATCATATTCTTGAACTGACTGTGAGTTAAGCCTGCAGCTTTTTAGGCTCAATAGATAACTCCAGTTACATATGGAGATTGCTGCATTCTAGGATTGGCATTTTCTTATCAAAAAGTTATTCTTTCTATTCTAACTCTCACAGATTCTAAGCTTTTATGTTATTTCTTAAAAGATTCTCGTTTTCACCAACTTATTCCAAATTTGAACCTTACAGTACACGAAGGTTAATTTCAGATTATCTTTTATCTTGTTCTCATGGGCAAATGAGGAAAATTAATCAGCAGATCACTGATGGTCATTCTGAAAAAGTTACCTTACAAGTTTTGCTTATTTTGTGAATTCTTTTACCTACAATGATAGTCATAGAACTTAGTATGAATTCAGTTTGATCTAATTCAAAATCAATGTAGGAAAAACACATGTTCTAAAAATGATACCATTAATTGGAGAAGATAGCTCTTGTAATGATAGAGTATATTTGCACAATGACTAAAGTCGATTATACATATATTAAAGGAAAAAAAATAAGCAGGAATCTAGGGCTTAAATTCAATTATGATCACAATATCTAAGGTAGATCTAATAGTTTTTCCATCTACCATTAGTCCTAATTATGACTCAAATACACTTTTGCATGCTTCTATATAATCCCTTACATTCATCAAGAGTGATTGAAGTTTAACAATATTAAATATAAGTCTATAACTCTAACATTTCTTTTGGAGAGGTCTTGAATTGGTTCAAACAACATTTGAGAAATGTTTATAAATGTTTAATTGGATTGAGGTTAGGAGATTGTATTGGCAACTTGAGAAGAAAAATTCTTATAAATTCAACCACAAAGTCACAAGTTTGGATATTTTCTTTGAATCATTGAAGGGTTGAATAATCACATTTTCAAAACTCAAATTGTATGCATGCAATGTATACATCAACTTGCATTCTAAAACTTTCTTGTAAAGATGTTAGTATGCTGTTCTCTCAATTTTGCCTATCATACTAAGGCCTTTTGTGGTCATACAACTCTACATCATCACTCCACCTCCAAACGTCACCATCTCTTATACTTATAGACTTTCTATTACAAATCAAGCACTAGCTACTACCATTAGAGATAAAGTCAATTCATTTTTGTTTTATCAAAGTATATAAAATGTGACCAGTCATTGTTTGTCTAATGTTTATAACATTTTGCAAATTATAATCTTGATATTATTTGACTAGTTATGAGCTTTAGTTTCTTTTGCTTAACTTTGGATTTTAAGCATGTTTGATATAATATCCTTTTTACAATGGAATCACATACAATAATGTAGGTCCTTTTTCATATAAATGCCTACTTTAGGTGCCTCAAAGCCACCATTAGTAATTGCTTGTATATATGCTCTTTGATCTACTAAAATGAATATTCTTGGTCTACCACCAAGATTACAATTTTTACTATTCAACTTACTCAAGTGTGCTCAAAAAGTTGTACAATAATATCTTGGGATACTTGCAAATCTCATGCAATCTTTCTTATATCTTCATCCCTCTTCACCCTTGCCAAACCACTAACTTCTATTTGTTGTCTTTTAGCTTAAGAGACATACCTTAATGAAGCAATTTTGCTTTGGTATGCACTTGTGGTGTGTAAAATTATATAACTAAGGCGTATTACCATATCCATTCTCTCAACCAAGCATAAAAAACCACTTATGAATTTTGGATTTATTGTTTAGATTACTTCTCAACATTGAAAAGCCAAACTTAAGAAACAAATGATTTGATCCACATATTTCTCTCTTCCATTTATGTTGTTGGACTTATACTTTGGTTGCTACATCATTAACTTATATTAAAATCTAATTCACTTTCAAATTTAATTTATATTATAATATATATATATATATATATATATATATATATATTTATATTCACATTCATCATAATTTCTAGTTAAAATCAAGATTACTGATTTCACACTCAGTTACGACTGTCATTGTATTTGCATCTACATATATAAAGTCCATTTTGTGAATCTGTCCTCAAAATTCGATATCATATAAACACTACTATTGTACTCACAAACACATACAAATATCACAAACTTAACACCTGGGCATATCTCACAAATGTACGTTCGCCCTAAAATCATGACAAACTTGTAATATAGAGTTCCGTTTAAAAAACTCATTCAATCACATTTACACGCACAAAGGCACACAGCCATTGCAAAGTAGCAAGTACGAGACTACACCAACCTGGTGAAATTTTCATAGAAACACGACCAACTGAATGAGCGACCAAAAGTGAATGAATCAATAGGAATCACTTATCACTGGGTTAGCTTTCCAGCAACAGGACACAAGCGACGACGAGTTTCGTTCGTTTCTTTGGGGTGCTGTCGTGGCTTCGACGATTGTTGTTCATTTAAGGGCGGATTGACGACAAAGGCCACTTTCCCTCTCTGCTAGAAGAACATAGACTTGCAAGTAGGAGCAAAATTTCTCATTTGTTCTGGCAACATTGCAATCTCCCGTTCCCTCTGTCCGCCATAGCCCATGGGCGATCGATCGATTGAGTGAAGGGGAGAGTGCATCGCAATCGGATTTCGAGCTGTTGGGGCTGGTTGTGGTTGATTTCTGGTTGTTGGGGTTCCGTCACAATCAGTTTTTTTTGGGGGGGGGGGTGAGAGGTATCTTCAGCTTGAAACCTAATTAGCTGTTGCAAACCCTAAACGTTGGTGATTGGTATTGAAGCAGATTTAGGGATGGAGGAGAAAGAAGCCACGCAGGATTCCAAGCTGTCCCTGGCGCAGAAGCTGTTTCTGCTGCGGTCTCCCGATGTGGAGGACATCGAGAAGGCGTCGTTGAAGGAGGAAGTGTTGGCTCTCATCAAGTCGGATGACATGGCCGGGCTTTATCAGTTTTACTGTCATGAACTTGGCTGGGAGCTCGATCAGGGGTGTGTGGATGCGATGAACGCGAAGAACGCTGAGGAGTTGAAGAGACTTGATGACAAGATTGCGGATGCGGAGGAAAATTTGGGTGAGAGTGAGGTGCGAGAGGCACTCCTGGCGAAGGCGCTGTTTTATATCCGTATCGGTGACAAGGAAAATTCGTTGGAACAATTGAAAATTACAGAAGCGAAGACGGTGGCAGTGGGACAAAAGATGGACCTCGTGTTCCATACCCTTCGCCTTGGTTTTTTTCACCTCGATTTTGCTCTAATTTTGCGTAATATTGAGAAGGCGAAGAGTTTGTTTGACGAGGGCGGTGATTGGGAGCGGAAAAACAGATTGAAGGTGTACGAGGGATTGTATTGTATGGCAACCCGGAACTTCAAGCAAGCAGCTAATTTGTTCTTGGACTCAATTTCAACGTTCACTACCACCGAGCTTTTCTCTTACGATACCTTTATCTTCTACTCCGTACTTACCAGCATCATCTCTCTGGACCGTGTGGCTTTGAGGCAGAAAGTGGTGGATGCTCCAGAGATCCTTACCGTAATAGGGAAGATTAACCATCTTTCCGACTTTCTTAATGCCCTATACGATTGTCACTACGAAACATTTTTTGTGGCATTTGCAGGTTTGACCGATCAAATTAGACTTGACCGGTACCTACATCCACACATCCGATTCTACATGCGTGAAGTGCGTTCAGTAGCTTACTCGCAGTTTCTCGAGTCATACAAGAGCGTTACCATGGATGCTATGGCGAAGGCTTTCGGTGTTAGCGTCAATTTTCTGGACTTGGAACTTTCAAGGTTTATTGCTGCCGGAAGGTTGAATTGTAAGATTGACAAAGTGGCTGGCGTCCTCGAAACCAACAGACCAGATGCGAAGAATGCTCTGTATCAGTCCACTATCAAGCAGGGAGATTACCTGCTCAATCGCATACAGAAATTGTCCAGAGTCATTGACCTATAAATCGTTGATAGAATCGTCATGTTACGAGCTGTTTATTTTGTGACACACCAGTAAGCACTGAATGCTAGCTGGGATATAGTTCAATCATTGCTAGGCAATGGTTACAGCGTTATTGAACATGCAACAGCATTTTTTGCGATGGTTCCAGTCCAGTGGTTGGGAACTGTAGCGCTTTGAAGTCGCTGCACCCAGTTTCAATGTACATTGCTGTTCTTGTTGTGCTTAATTCGTGAAGCTTACATTCTGGGATTGATGATGCGATGGGACTTGACGATTTTGGGTTCCTTTTCTGCATGATTTAGCAATTAGGTTAGTATTAACGTTTTTTTTTTTTTCCCCTTTTCCTTTTTCCTCTTCTTTCTTTTCTTCTGTTGTTTCTCTTACTGTTCTTCGATAGTCTTCCCTAAGATCTTTCTAGGTTTCTTACATTTTTTAAGGTCTCCAATTGTTTGAATGAAAATTATGCCCCACTTAGTTGCTTCTCTGATTTTATTTTTATTTTTATTTATTTATTTATTCTTGTTTACACTATTAATTGGTTAAATTCTGAAACAACGAACTTCTGGCACATCATTTGGAAGAGTCTTCTATGCTGTAAAAAAACAAGCCGTGACGATAGTTCTGTGATGGCTGTTGGTTTTGAGAATCAATCGAAGGGAAATCTCAATATGGTAATATATAAGGGCAGTGTACATAATGTAAAGAGACCACGTGATTGAGCGTAGTGTTATTAACTGGTAAGTAAATTGCCATATTCGAACAGAGCATTCGATAGATTTTGCAGTCATGTTTGTAAACAAGGCCAAGAATACTGAACATGAGATTTATATGCTGTCCTTTATAACTCATGAGAGTGTAGATGTTATGCTAGATTGGTAAAAACGTCTCTTTTTTGCACCAACTATTTGTACAAGGTTCGGATTATATCAATTTCAGCAGTAAAACCCATGCGCTAGGAAAATAAAAAACAAATTTTTATTGAATTGGTTTGCAACATATGAATGGTAAAGATAAAAAGAAGTTTTTTATTTTTATTTTTACTTTTTAATTTTAAATCAAATTTATTTATAAAATAATTTGAAGGATTTATTAGCTATTAAAAAAATATTTATTTCATAGGATAATAGATTTTGTGTTAAATTTTGTATTGCATTATTTAAAATTTCTTGGTTTCTAATTTTTCTTTCAAAGTTCATTATCTAAATTCCTATCAAATAAAAATTTAATACATTAATAAGAGATTTAGATAAAAAAAATTTTATATGTAAAATAAGTAATATTTAAATAAATTTTATATTATTAAAATTAATACATGTTTTTAACATATTCATACATGTAATAAATGATGTTTTAAAAGAATTTGATCTTTTCAATGATATGTATAAATATGCATCTATTTTGTATGTATGCATATATATATATATATATATAGTATAAGTGGTATTTATCTATTGTTTGTTTATTTATCTATTATTTTAATTAATAAATTAGTTGAATTTTCACAATATTTACAAATCTTCTATGATAATACAAAGTGTTCATAATCATCATGGCATACAAATATTTGTAATCTTACACAAATCTCTTGTATAATATGATTTTCTACCATTTAAAATCTTATGTACTCATTTTAGTTGATACAATATTATCATATGATAAATCCATTAATATATCTGTTTAGCATATTGGTAAATATATAAGAAGTGAAACATATATGGTGATATATGTATGATGATAATATGATAATACATTGATTTAATTTGTTAATTGGTAAATAACTTATTGTTTTTATATGCCAACCATATAAGATAGTGAATATCTTGAGAAGAAGACAAATGCCACCTCATCTTATAGAAGTGGATAATAATTAAAAATTTGAGGTAGAATGAGTCTTAGATTTAAGACAACATTGAAATAGGTTGAAATATCTTGTTTATCGATGTCGATATGATATTAGTAAACACACATGGAAGCCAACAAAGAATCTTGCAAATGCAACAAAGAAGGTTGATGCTTTTGATTGATGATATCTATTAAAATTAAGATGAAGAATAGCAAATCTTTGCTATTAAAAAATTTTTATTTATGAAAGATTGCATTTTATCTTCTATCTTTATTTTTAATTTATATGTATTTGTAGTGCTAAAGAGATAGAAAATCAATAACTAAGAGACTTAATTCAAGAGCTATTGTTTGCTGATTTACTACATGAGACATTGCAATTGTCACAACCTTCAAGACAATGTAATAGAAATGAAGATCCTCAAGATTAACATGTTCTTCTTGAAATAGATGGCAAGATATAATGCATTTGATATCACAACTTTAAAAGAAATTCTTCATATTTGGTGATTTTATTCAAGGTAGAAACAATTCTTGATGATTTTACAAATGTTTTTTTTGAAAAAAATTACAAAGGCTTCAACAATGATCAAATAATAGGGTAGTCTTCTTACACTAGAATAGAACATTATTGATTGTCAAGAAGACCTATCAACCACCTTCAAAGTGAATAAAGATCAGAATATGTGGCAAATATAATTTACTGCATCATCGACTTCCTCAATATATGATGACCATTTCTTTGTAGAACTTGTCCCTAAAAATGAGGATAATGTCATGGATATACATATTTACTTAGATAAGTAGTACTAGATAGAAGGTAAATATATGTGGATTTGATATTATCTTGTGGCAAAGCTTCTTAGAAGCTTTATAGATTTGTATTTGACTTTATACATGTTTATAGTTGATTGATAGGTTAGAAATTTAGCCAACAAGTTAGCCATGTGTTGCATGTATGAATAACTTGTAGTATAAGCTAAAAATATGGCACACATATAAGAAACTTATCTTCCAAGTTAAAACATGTGTTTTACAAATTGGACACACATTAGAGGTTTTATAGGACGTCGCTACATAGCTCTCAGTTGGATAGTACATATGGAGGCAAAAATGAAGCCTTCTTCACTCTTATCAATGCCTTTTTAGTTCTTAGTCTTATTTTAAGACTTTTTAGTATTCTTGTCTTTGGTAATAGCTATTCTAATTTAATATTATACCATCTTTGAGTAATTCTTCAATCTTTTTGAATGACACAAGAATGTATTAATCTTTTGATTTTCTAAGATTTATATCATTGGTACAAGAAGACATTGAATAAGATAAAGAAAAAAAGTAATGTAAATAATAAAAGATCATGCATCCTACAACAAACTGAGGAAGTACAACTATGTCCTTATCTCCATAACATCCTCTAATCTACTCCACTTCTACTCAAAGAGTGTCTCTTCAATCTACAAGGACTATAATATTAACTACTATGTACAAAAAGAAGCAACACCACTTCAACTCGATTAACAACAAAATGAAATCAACTCAACCATCACAACCAAATAATACTAACAACTAGAAATTGAGAAGTGTTGGCAACCACCACACATCTGCTGCAATCAAGAATCCATCAATGGTACTGCAATTCTATCTTAAATAACAAGAGAAAAAAGTAGTTGCCAATACTAAGAATACTAAAAAACCAAGCTCCAATTCTATTGCATGCCAATCTTGATTCATTGATGAAAAAATAAAAATAAAAAAAACAACACTCAAGAAGCATACAACACTATAAGAAAAAACTAGAAGCCCTGATCTTGAGTTGGACAATATCAACAATACTTAAGCATCAAGTGACAATAGGAAATGCCTTCAACATAGTTGCCACCACATGCTTATAGTGATTGTTGCAAAATTAGTGGAAAATAATGTACTTGCCTTCACCTTTTGGAGAGCTCTATTCTTTGTACAAAAATAAAATAAGACAATAATGAATGAGGTTTGAAGTGTACTTTGTTGGACTTCAATAACTCTTGCCTAAAAAATTGGAATCATCATCTATTACTAAGAATTTTGAAAATATATATATATATATATATATATATATATATCCTTTCTCTCTCTTTATTAGTTCTTTTTCTTCTCTCTATTTTTTTCCCATCTTTTTCTATTCAATGATTTCATTCTATTTTATTTTTATTATTTTAAATTATTTTGAATCTAAGATTCGTCTTTGATTTCTTTCCTAATAAAAAATCAATGATAATAAACTACCTCCATTGGATTATAATCTAATATTAATTAAATTAATAAAGAATTTATCTTAGGATTTCTTATTAAGAACTTCTACCATAGATTGTAATTTGTAATAGTATTTCTATATTTTCTAATTGTTTAAGAATTCTTCTACTAATTCACAAAATTTGTGATTTAAGTACTATAAGTTCATTTTTTTTACTAAATATCTAAGTGAGTCAATTTCATGACTTATATATAGTGACCATCTAGGACAACTTAAAGAAGTAAAGAATTCAAAAGCTCTTGCTACTTGGGAAGTCCTTATCTAAGTTAGTAATTATTAGTTTTAATATTCTATCAAGAATAGAAGAAATATTGCAAAAGGTCCAAAATAAATTATTCATATAAAAGATTGTGGTTAGTATTAATTTTACTTTTATATTTTTAATTCTAATTGTCTCAAGATAGAAAAACTATTGAAGAACTAATCTACTTATTAAAAAAAGGTGAAATAATTTTTTAGTAGAAAAAAAGAAAAAAAATAAGACAAGAAGAAAAATTAAAATATGTAGAAATAAATAAAAAAATCTAAAAATTGATATTAAAAAATCCTCTTTTAAAGAAAAAGAATTAGATTAAAAGCCATAGAAGCCTACCTATCCTCTAGGTTGTGCAAGTTGGCTACTTTCCTTCTTTAAAACTAATTTATAAAGATAGCTTACTATGTGAATCAAATTTGAACCTAAATCACTTCATACATAATTACTTTTGTGGCCAACTATGTAACAATTCAAAGATGTTAAATTACTTCAAGTTATTTCGAAATTCTATAAATCTTGTTTATTTATTTACTTATTCTTCTTTCTTTACATAAGTTTTAATTTCTCTCCTAATAAGTAGAAGAGATAATATTATAGTAGAACCAAGAACCATTCATACAATTATTCTTGTTTCTCTTATGAATCAAAGATCCAATTCTTTTGGAAAAAAATAAAATTTGGCTAAGTTATATAATTAGATCCCCTCTCAATTTGAGTAATAAAAGTATAAAGTGTTTTTTCAATATGTGATGATTTTTTCATATTCTATATTTCTTACATCTATTCTCTGATGTTCTAGTTGGAAAAATATCACCATTTAATATCTCTAATTATAAGAAGTTGTCAAAGATTTTTCAA